AAGAGACATTTACATTTCACGTGACATTTTACCACAGTTACTTACTTGTTTTGCCTTCCCGGAACCCCTCCACTAACATTTAAACTTTATGGTATGGTATTAAAGTTCAAATTGTCTTTTAAGTATTAGTTGTTTTTAGACTTTTTCAGGCAATTTTTTAATTTTTTTCTTTCATAAGAATCTTCTCCGGATAATAACAAACACAATAAAAAAAAAGTGAAATCGGTCCAGCCGTTCACGCGTGATGGCGTGACCAAGGGAAGTAGGGATTCATTTTTATATATAGATTGTATATTTTTATTATGTATATTTATATATCTTTATTATATTTATGTAGTTATATAATCACTTAAGTACTTATTATTTACTTATATTTGTGTGTGTATATTTTATACATTATCAATAGATATAAATATTTATTGTAATTATTTCGTATAGCACAATTTTTCGCCACGCCACGGGATGACTACGCGGGAATGCCAAAAGGCATTCGCCCTTTTGTAATCCTTTTTTTGGTAATTGCAATAAAGAATAAATAAATAATTAAAATATATTTTTAATAGTAATCATGAATTAAATAATTACAGCATTGTAATTATTTGTATTGCATTGTATTACAATGCAATACAAATAATTACAATGCAATAGAAATAATTACAATGCTGCAGGTTAGAGCTGTTGTTAACGACTAATACACATATCATTAATAGGAAATATAATGCTAATTGGGGTATTCACTTCGTTGATTTATCGCTACCAAGCACAATTTGCCCTTATTTTAGTTTAATTTCTAAAAAAAAAAAATACATGGAAAATAGTTGTATAATTGAATTTAAAAATATCTATTGAGACAAATATATCAGAGGCAAGACAGCTTTATATAAATGGTGGACATTATTGTCTAGTTATTTACGTGAAGCAGTGATTTAAAGTCACATATAAATTTTCAGAAAAAACCCATCAATAAAGTTACAGGTATAAACTTTTGGAAAATCAATACGCTGTTGTGATACGCTGTAGTGTAAAAGCTCGGGAATAATAATATAAATTTGAAAGCGAAAAGCTTAGCAAAATGTTTTCCATTCTTCAGTGTCCTTACTTTACCGTTATGGTTTTAAATCATACTTTATTTATTTGCATATGCTTCTAAAACTATATTTTAGATATAACCGAGTTTTCAAAGGAACTTGTTTACATGTATGCCTGGAATATTTTGTAAGTTTCAAAGAGTGTGAACATTAGCCAAGTTTTCGTTATCGAATTTTAATTACAAAACACATTGCGCACGTTTTGAAGTGCATTTAGTGATGGACATATAATCTGTATCCAGCGGTTGACTCGTCCACAGCGAGGGCATCGACCCCGCTTAATACGGCTCCCCTGGACGCTTGCATTGTCGCTACGCCTCACGTGCTTTGAATTAAAGCTCTATTTTGACTCTGATATGCGTATTAAATTCATACTGTATTTAAACTTATTCTAATATTAATTATTTGGTATTCGCTCACTGTTATAATAAAGAAACTTTGAATCTTGTTTAAAGCATAGTCACGCGAATTAGTCTTGTTTATGGAAAATCAATCTTGCAGTTTCGGTGATACTGCGTTTGAATCGCCATCCATTAAATTGGCTATATAATTGGTAGCGCTATTATACGCGACTAACGTCAGATTATTCAGAAGTTTTTAAAAGGTTCAGTGATGTGGATTAGTCTCTCCTGGAAATTCTAGATTCATCTTCGGGCTGACTTTTTTGCTTAGAGGTCGTACCAGAGTGGTTAATACACGTTCGATATGGAAGCGGCAGTTAGTATTCCAGTTATAGTTTATTGAATGAATAATGGCAAGTAGTAGTGCTGTGCAAATCGGGTTATCGATTTGTGATGAACAGGGCTGCCAACACCATTGTTAGATCGATTCAGTGACATATTCATGCCATGATTTTACAATCCTCCTTTGTGCATATGTATACAATGTAATACTTAAACTTTACTTTTGATATTATTTTAATTATGACAATACAAATCGATTCAAAGGAATACGTAAATCTTTTCGCGCTGTTTGTTGAAAAACATAGTCATTTGCGGTTGGAATAAATTTAAACACGATGAGGGGGCTTTGAGACTTGAGGCTAGCGGCAGCCCTGCCGGTGCAGTGACACAGGCCCGGCGGGCGGGCGTCGACCCTGCAACTTCAGCGCACCATTGCACCCGCCGCTTTGTATCTTCGTAGCGGTCATCACTCTTGGCGGGATGCTCCTGCACTTAGCCTTCGACAGTATATTAGGGTGGCGATTTCTCTTTGAAAGCTCACGCGGCTTTCGATCCCGAGTATAAAAGTAACACTGTTACTGTATACAGTATTACAGCAACACAGTACTACAGTATTAAGACTGTTACTATATACAGTGCTATATTAGCACGATGAATATAACGAAATGAAAGTCAAAATTTCCACATCCAAGTTAGACTTGTTCCTAGCTCTGTTATGAACGTCAAAATTCAAAATGTTACCGGTTTTCTAATATTAGACCTCGTTTAAACTTTTATTTTTGCGAATGTTTGCCTTAAAAACCAATATATGGTTTTTAAGGCAAACATTGTGAAGCTGTGAAGTGATACAGAACTAGAAGCTATTGGTTTCATTGTAACCAAACCTTTGTTGTTAGATGGTAACATTATGTGGCTGGGGTATTGGCGATTTGCTCTATTCTTATTATATCATACCATTTTCAGTATAGCACTTTTAACCTGTATCGTACTTTAGTACGTACGTACGAAACAATATCATATTTATAATATTTTTATAATGAATAAATATGTAGGTAGATATTTTAGTTGGTGAAGTCTAACATTTATAAACCTAATAGGGTGTAGCAAACGAACACGTGTATTAGATAAGGAAACTGGTCGACTGTTTCTCGTTATTGTATTATTGAATAGAGGTGCTTTATAGCTTCATTTACTGCGTTATATTATTTTATTGCATGGTAATGTTTAAATGTCCGTAACGTTTGCAATTATTCCCGATATATATGTGTCAATGTCTTAATTGTTAGATTATATTTCAGTTATAATGTGTAACAAATTGTGAGATGAATTTAATGTGACTGCTGTTGTAACGGGCCCAAGGAACTGTGCCCATATTGCCTTGATAAAACCACATTAAAATTGTTTTAGGGGTCTGCAATAAAATGTGTACTCGCGGGCTTATACTTTCGGAATTCTGCTTATTTCAAAAAATCTGACAAATCCTATGATGCCGAGAAACTACAAATCTTTAAATGTAAGTGTAATTATTTTTATAATACTTTTATCCTTACCCGTGCTGTATTTAATTATAATATATTAAGTTAAAGTGAAAAAAAAGGTACGTGATGTCCAACAACAATATTTATTTATTATAATTAATGGTATGTATTAATTCTATTGTGATTAAAATTTGAATATCTGCCTACTCTAACTAGAGTTTTGCTCAAATTCGACGCTTTGTAATATTCTGTTATGCCTGTAAGCATTGACGTTTAATTGAATATGTTTCAACACTATAGAATTCATAAACGCCACCAGTTGTTTGTGGAAGTTAGCGCTAATAATTGAGAATGGTAACTTCGAAGCTGCGTTTTGCTTGGGAGTTCGACGGTTGCCGCAAACAATGAACTCGGGCCTAGCTGTTGCGGGCTGACTTATCTAACTTAGTTCAGCTTCGCGAGCCGCTGCGCAGCGGAGTGGGGTCGGAAGGCCCCCACCCCCGGATTGGGTCACGAATTTTACGGCCGCGGGTCCCCTCGACCCCGGCGGCTGTGTGTGTGTATGTAGGTTAACATCGGACGCGCTCGATACGCCGCCGCCGAAGCCGACCACCTAACCTAGATCAGGGTGTGGAGAGATCGCTTATGAAATCTGGCGCACGCCGGCCGCATAAATGACACGGAATTGGTAAACGCGCCTCGATCGCCGCCACCGTGTTAATTCAGCACCGAACCGTCGAATCGTGCGGCGCGTTTAATTGGTGCAGTTGTATTCTCTTAGTTAACGGCCGATCGAGAAACTCGTAAAGTCCACTATGCAACTAGATTTCGAATGCTTAAGTAAAATCTAACTGAAAACAAGTACGCTATTTGATCCTAATTGTTATGTAAGCACTTTGAAAGTTATTATGTAAATGAAAGTAGATAGTCGCTTCGTGAAACGCAATCTTAAAAAGTCTTTACTTAATAAAATGGTATAATAACGTCTAGATTATATGTTTAGGTTGCTTCAATGCGAAATATATTCAATAAATATGATATACTAGCTGCTGCCCGCGGCTACGTCTGCGTAGGCTGAAGATGTAACATTAAGACAGAAAGACAGATATACATGAAATATCTACATAAATTATAGCCTTTGTCTTATTCTGATGTATAAGCTATATTATTGTAAAGTTTCATTAAAATCCATTCAGTAGTATTTGCGTGAAAGAGTAACAAACATCCATCCATACATACAAACTTTCGCCTTTATAATATTAGTAAGGATAAGGATGTTGGGAATTAGACGGTTAACGTGTGAACAGTCATGAATATTTTACAGTTATATTTGACATTATGATTAGTTTTATGACTGTGGTAGGGCCACGCATCTGCTTTTACTGTTGCACGAATGGGCTGGCTCGACCTATGTTAAGTGTAAGCATTATACTTTCGCGTTTCGTCTGTTGAGCGAGGTAACCGGGCCATTATACAAAGTTTTTCAACGCATCTGTATACTCCCAGGTGTTGTAGATGTCCATGGGCGGCGCTAATCACTCACTAAAATCAGGTGGCATATATGTTCAGCAGTGGAATCGAACAGGCCGAAATGATAATGATGAACCATCTTCTCGCTTGGCAACTAGTCACATAAAACCAGAAGCTGTCGTCCGCTAACCAGCCTTGAGAAAGGCGGACCCAATCCATCCCCCTCCGTTCGACAATTAGTCCGCGCAATTACAGCACAAAGGAGAAATAGCGAAATATTAGAAACGGCGGTACGCGCTCAGCCACCTCTCGGGCGCCGTAGACTCGCTCGCCTCTGCCTCGATACGGCCAATTGTGCGGGCCGATTTCGAAACGAAAGTACCGCCGCATCTAGGACGGTGAACGTATTTCTCGGCGAGATCTCTTGCGATTTAACGGCCGGGCACTTTATTAGAGAACGATGCGAATATCTATACGATCTGTGCCCACCTTAATTTCTATAGCCCAGCAACCGTCAACGCGTCACCTCGTGATTTTGTTGGATGGAAAGGCGACTTTTTGCGTCCGCTCTGCTTAACAAATTGCGTTTTTTTTTGTTATTGTTTAAGATTTTCTTTGTACCGAACTTTCGTTAGTTTTTTATTGCTGTAATACGGATATTGACGCAGAATTTTCGACGGCGACAAAAGAAAATTATGATAATAATAATATGCAGTTTCATTAAAACAATATGAAGCTAGGGCCAACTGAGTGAATAGGCATTGCTCCATGATTATTCCTAGTATGCCTTTAGAACAAACTGTATCTAATATTTTCCTGTCGCTAGGTAGTAATGATAATGAGACAGAGAAATTATTAGAGAGAATTAAAATAAAAATAAAATAATAATTAATAAATTTTATTTGGCAAAAAGACTAAATATAAGGTCTTTAAGATTGGACTTTGCGAATGAATGAACTTAATATTAGTTAAGTCATGAATCACGTGTCTGAGTGGGTCATTCGGTTTAAAACAACTCATTCGATTTTATATACTTATGTCTAGCTAAGAATTCTTGGCAGCATCCACGGCAAGGGGACATTAAGGATTGACGTCGTTGCTAATCTGTAGTCGGACTTTTTATTAATTTATTTTCGTACAATCAGAACGGAGCTTACAATATCTTTAGCATTTGCATAGTCTGTAAGGCATTATATTAATAGAGGATAACAAACAATTAGTAATCAAATTGCTTTTCAATATTTTCCTCGAAAAAGGCTTTTCTTTCGTTTAAGACGTTTACAAAAAATAATGTGCTACGCAGTCAATGTCATTTGAAATGGCGTTTTTATAATAATTTCTTGTATTTACGCGATTACACATTATAGTCAGACGGTCGAACCCTTTACAGTCTGTCCCGTGACCATGAACGCTGTAAAGGGTTCGAAACGTCGGGAACTAAAATTAAAAATAAACGCGATAAATCCGTAAAATTAGTTTCATTTATAATGGCGTTTTTAATCTGGGTTCCTAAAAAGATTTACGTTAATTTTAACGTCAACATGTAGTACCAATAGCTTGTATAAGATAATTTCCATTATATGTTCTTTGTGATTAAAAATAAAACACGCCAATATATTACCTATCCGTAAACCCATTATGAAATAGTATTTACTGTTATTAAAATATTTCTACCATCTAAAAATAAAAAAAAATTGGGATGTGTTGAAGATTTTTGCCGTCTTCGCATTAAATTCACCCTTTTAAATTAGTTATTTTTAGTCGGAAAGTTTACGTACATAATCGAAATTATGACGGATTAGATAGTGAAGAATCAGAAAACGCTCAGCGCCTTATTTTCTATTGCGCGACTTGGGTGCACTTAGGCGCCGGCACTTCGCAAACTTATTATATCACCCGAGATATCGTAACTTTGCCCACTGTTCCACTAGAAAGTGCACGGCCCACCAGTCTCTCCTCCATTTGTTACATAGGAAACTCGCATTCGAGCATTGCTTCTGACTCTCGTTTTAATTTGCTCGACGGCTTTAGTGACTTTCACGGTAGTCGAAAACTCTTGTGAGTGAAAATCGCCCGCGCTGTAACTATCGGTAAAACGTTAACATTATGCATTCAGGTTTCTATCAATAGTCTGTTTGATTTAACACATATTTAAATGTATGAATTAATGAGCGAGACAAGGTCGAGGAATTGCCTCTTGCTGATCTTTTTACGGTCAAATTTGACGGATGGCCAAATAAATGTAACGTTCGCAACCAGCGTTGTCATTTATATTGTTTGGTGGAAGCTCAATTAAAACTTTCAAAATGTACAATTATAATTCACGGTAAGCTAATGGATGTATATGATTACACTGTGTTCTATGTCTCTAATCAGAGGCTTTACTGGAATGCTCCGAAGACTATAGGTATCGAGCTTTTTCAAACTTTGAAAAATTACCGAAATTTAGATTATAACATTACTATAATTAAAATTAGCCATTAGGCTATTTATAATCTTACAAATGTAATGTTAATTGTTGATTGCACATAATCTTATGCCGAATAGTTAATGAATCTTTGTGATATACAAGTGTATCTAGGTGTGAGTTATGTCAACCTACTTCTTGAATGTCGCCACACTGTAAACAAGAAACGACTTTAAAGCGTATGCCGTTAGAGATGAAATTGATTGAACCGGGCCCAGGCGTTCTCAATCTGACAATTAGGAACTACTTTAACCGTTTCATTCGATAATAAACCTTATCGCTGTGAACGAAGATGTATTTTGAGATACTGTGAGCTACTTGAATACTGTACATGTTCCATTCAACCATGAACTCCTTCGAGGAGCGTCCCGCATAGTGGAGACCTCAATTTTTTAAACTCTTACTTATTGGTCAATCAGCGTGACATTTGTACAGTAATACCATTGTTATAAAGCGGTCATTGCAATAAGTCCTGTAACCAAAGATAAATATCTAAAAATAGTTAAAATCATTCATATTCGAAGGTTCCTCTTACATTTTGCCGTATCATTATTATTATTTACAAAATATAAACGTCCATTATGCGTCCATATTGCAATCTACTAATGATCCACCAACTCTACATAAATTTGAATTTCATGTTGTATATAACGATTGTCTTACGCCGGATTAAATGCTTTAGCCGTTTAGATCTTAGCAATCATTAATGTGTATTTATCTCTACTAGTTTAACAGTTTCGTGTTGGTAATAATATTTGTTTTCATTTCAGGTATCTCGCGCAAGCCGCGTTGCAAAAGTGTAAGTAGACTTTTTCTGTTTGCCGATCGCAATCACTTCGTAGCGCGACCTCCCCATCGGCTGGTCTAGCTAGCGCCGCCCGCGCCGCTCCGTACCGCGGTCTATAATTGAAACAATCGCGCGCGTTTCTCCGTTGTGTAAGCGCGCCGCAAAGTGGACTGTGTCGTTACCCAATCGGATGCATCTCGCTCGGAGCCGCGCCGCGCGAGAGTCGAATTACCCAAGCGCCAGGAGAGAGGCCCCGCCGCGGCGGTTTCCCAATAGAAAGTCCCGGCGAGCAGGAAGCGCGGCTGCTGCGCGGTTGCAGCGCACGTGCAGCCCTGGGAGGGGGGAGGGGGGTGGCGATGCACTTTCGTGGCGGTGACGTCACCAGCCTTTCGTCACCGTCACAACAGAGCCCGTAAGAGCGGTTGCGCAACCGGCGCGCACCACTCGACTTTCCAATTTCGACAACGCGCCATTGTGTGGCGGCTTTCAAATTTTTACCTCGCCCTCCCCCCTCCCCCCGCTTTTTGGCGCTCTCACCGCGGCGCTGAAAACGCTCTGAACGCGGTCCGATCACAATGGCAGCGATGCACTTTCACTGCACCGCTACGCTTCCACCGATCACGGAGGCGTTTCTTTCTCTCCCCCGCGCGTTCGGATGCTGTTCTATTTTTCTCGACGCCATATCCTTCATAATCGTAACGCTCTGCGCTCGAACACTTTCACAATCGTGCTGTTTCGCTTAGTCGGGCGTTTTTGAAAGCTGCAGGCACTTTAAGATATGCGTGACAGCTATGACGTCTCTCGTAGGGTTTTCACCGCTTTGATGGGAGCTTTCTCAGTTGCGAGCATCAGCGTCGCGAAACTCGAGAGTGGATTGTGGCACCACTCTCTATTAATAGTCGGTCATAAACATAATTTTCCGTGTGTCGCGCTCTGAAATTATAATATGGCTTGAGTAATCTTCCATTGCGATGGCTTCCAATTTTGCATCCAATGTTTATGATATTGCACAATAAATCCCACTGTATTCGTATTGAGTTTCAAACATACATTTTGTTTATATTTACTTGCGTTGGGATCAGCCCACAGTTCCGCTGACATAGATCCGGTAACCCGTGGCCCTAATTCTAGAAATCCATTGGCGTGGCCACCTTTCGTAGAATTAATACGAATTATCGTAGACCCCCAAAATTGGCAGGTACAAAGAGTTTCGATGTTGTTTAAGATTTACATTTTTTTCAACGATCCTAAAATGTATTACATTACATTCCTCACTTCTTTTAAAGGTATCAGTATAATAAGTGTTGTATTGCGATAATTCATTAAATTGAAAGCAGTCACTTAATCTGCACATCTTAGTTCCGTACTCGATTTTTTTTTTCATGTAATAATTAATTGCATGTAAGATGTTTAACTATGTTTAGTACTATATATTTTTTTACGTATTTTTGAAGGTCTACCGACGGAAGGCCAAGTAGATGTACTAATTACAATGGTTATTTCTGTTACACTATAACGTATTATGTACCGAGAAATAAGTTCTTTTAGTCGTAATGATTTCCGAGATTGTCAATTAATAATTTTTCTTCGATATCGTTTTGTTGTACTTTAGTGTATTCAAAATATTTTTGCACATTACACCTTTACATAAATTTCTACGTTATACGCTATCGTAATTTTAACTCAGAGTTTAAGTTATGGCAAATTCTTGTTATGGTTCTTCGCCTATTTCAGACGAAAAATGTCTCCCACTGTTGGGCAAAAGCCCCACGAAGGCACTGCGTATTGGCGGACTTTACATATTTGCTGCGCTATATAAAATATGCTGGTTTCCTCACTGCAACTTAGAAATTAAAATTAAAAAATTTATTGGTGCCGATACCGGTATTTGATCTCGGGGGTTGCTCGAGTGCCCGGACACTGAGCTATCATGGCAACGATAAAAATGGGTGAAATAATCTTACTCGTTTTAAACAATACTAGAATACAGATGAAAGATTTCCGTTTTACTACTCCCAGAACTTAAAAGCTTCCCCTTACTACCCGTGGTACAATCTGGTAATATGATGAAAATAAAATTTTACGATATTCTATCCTATGGCAAGTGTCATTGTTCATTTACAACGTGTAGTATGTTGTAATATACCACTAGATCTTGTCATGTATGAATGACGTATAGAATTTTCTTTTACAATTGCAAATCGCCCCTAATTTCGTGCCGTAGAAATGAAAGGTCAGGCCGATAGCGAATGAGAAAGTTAATCGTGGAAAGTGCACGCGTGCAAAACGGACACTAATCGTCGAACTTTATGGGGAATAAAACAAATATATGCGTTATCAACAAGTGGATGGGGAATATGTGTAATGATATTTACTGTCTTTAATATTCAACCTTCTTAGATTGCTAATCGGGGGGAATGGAGGTGGGCAGGTTTGTACACATTATTTAATTTGAGATGATAAGGTACTTTCAAATTAAAAAAAGTTTTACTTGCCCTTTAGAAACCTAGAATATATAGTACAAAATTTCATAGTGCACTTGTACATTATTTCATTCTTACATTATGTGATCTAAAACAGTCAAACGAATTAAATCATTTTAATAAAAAAAAAATACGTCGCATATGATAATGACGTTCATTATTTATTTAGGAGCGTTTACGATTCAAGATGAAACAAAAATATATTGACACAAATAATTGTCATAAGGATAACCGGTTTGAAGTTGTAAAAAGGGGCGAAGTAAAAGTACTAATATAGTTTGTCGCTAAGCCGGGCATTATGAGCATGCAGGCGGGCTAAGCTTTCACCGGTATAATGGAGACGGTGCGGAGCGGAGAAAGGGTCTGCGCAGCTGTCCCACGGGCGCTCCGCGGACGGTCGGGCGCTCCGCCCTCGCAGGGGCCGCGGCGGCGCGCCACGCGAACACAGCGGCCAGTCGCCCGTCGCACTCCGACCGAATCGGACGTCCGTCACGCCACCAAGCGCACGCGTTCAACCATGCGGTGAAGTGAAACTGTCAAACGTGCTCCCATTCCGTACGCCGCGCAACCCCCCACGGCCGAACGTCGCACGCGTGGTGATTTGTGTACACGATACGGTGCGCTCACGGGAATTGGATTACACAGAAACATAATGGCCTTAGCCAGGTGAGCTATTTTGGTTGTTGGAGTCAACGCGGAACTAGTTTGGTTTCGCTATAGTTCGCCGAAGGACTTTCCGCCGTTCGGGCAGCCTTTTGATTTTCCAAAGGGACGGGCTAACGAGCGTCCGTTTGGGCGAACGAGTGACGGCAGGTGTAGCGATTCGCATTATCCATCGTAACCTCGATTCGCTCAGCTTTGTAATACGCACAGTCGCTTATAAAATGTGTTTATATCAATTAGACAGCAGTGCTACAACGGCGAAAGTTAATGTGCCCCGCATGCGTATATAACTTTCTTTGTTGTGTAAGCTTAGCGCCAACGACAAGTAGAGGGAGTGACTTAGAAATCGAGCCACTTTTACATTCATTAGTTTAATACGTGTTGTATACTGTTTCCGGGGATATCTTAAGGTTTTTGTGTAATTTTAACGGACATTATCCATGTTTCCTCAAGCGCCCCCGACTACATTCCGTTAATGCGATGCCGTTGTTTCCTCTTTATTTCTCGCACCCTCGTCTGTTACGGTTACCCTAAAAAGCGAACCCCAAATGTTGCTTTCGCCTTATTCGCTCGTATTTCGATGGAATTGTTCATCGATGTTTCCCTAGTACTATTCTAGTTTTTTTTGTAATTTATTCATGTAGATACTTGCTTGTTTGTGTGTGCGCACAAGTTTAATAAAAGAAATTAAGATTACCATTTCAAAAGCACAATAAATTGAGAAATGATTCATATCTTGTATACATACACTTTTGTACATACTGTGCAAATGGACCATGACCTGTGTAATGGCATCCCCATCAATAGGCATTCTTCTGAATATGAACCGAATATTATTATATAGACGTATTATGTTCAAGCACTCTGCTCTGCACCATTTCGGCAGGTAACAAAATCCCGAGGCCGGAAAGCGGCAGCTTCTCCCAATTTTTTCCTCCCTTTCTTTTTGTTGGCATTCTAAATTTAACGTTTCGTTATACCTTCATATCGCAACCTCTGTGCGTTCTAAGAATTTTTACACAGTAGACATGAATGAAATCTATATTCGTCGTTCTACGGTATCGTAAACTTAATTGTTAGAAATTACAGTCTGTCATTCATAACGTAACCATTCTATTTACTTTCATGAAGAGTTGTAGGCGCTTGAAATAGGTAAATAACTATAGCATATGCTACTTAAACAATATAATGCCAATATAGCAACGTTGATTGTTACCAAGTAGCTCGAAAAATAGTTACATAGTTTACAGTACCACAGCCGAAGTTGGAATCGTCTTAATGCTCGGTATAGTTATGGAGTAACGATAAGGATTTGCAGGGATGAGCTCGCCTGGGGTCAATGTCCTCTCGTCACGGAGGTTGCACGAAAGTCACCGGGTGCTCCTTCGCCTCGAGTCGAAGTCTGTACACCCTACGTCGTTTTATAACTTGTTTCTGTATATAATGTACCGTCGAAATGTGGTCGTCGTTCGTGCGCACAATAAAATAACATTAACGTTTGACATAGCGATGTAATACTTTATATTCACTGCCAGCTGAGCCTGCTTTTATTTTAACTAATCTATGGGCATTAGCAAACGCAAAGGTTAGATGATAAAATAAAACAAAGTTACTTAGTTTTGTATGTATGTCTGGCTAAGGATTTCGACAGTGCAATCCACATGTAATAATGTTGAGTCACTTGGTTTGACTAATAACGAGCATCGTAAAGATATTTACTTTGTCCTCGTAGAACAAAGCTAATGTCAATCTATAAAGAATCCTAAGTAGACCGGCTAATGCTAATACAATACATTCACTTAATACTTCAACCGTATTCAGAACTGGAAACAAAACACCAATACTCTCAAATAGCATTAACTAGTATACCAGTACAAACTGCAGTCTGCGGCCTGTGTTCGGTTAAACCTAAAATGGTCCCGAAGAAAAGTTAGGAACATTTCTCCACAAAGGGAGGACAGTCGAGAGGGTGCCATCGAAACATGCAGACGGCCATTAGTAAATCCTCACTTAATACTTGGAACTTTATTCATAACTGGAAACAAAACACCCATACTCTCAATCGTGCTTTAACAGACGCTATATACTAATAGTAGACGGCGTCTGTTCGATTAAACGTTACATGGTCCCGAAGAAAAGTTAGGACAACGATTGTTTGAATAACTTGGGCGAGGTGGTTTCGCAAGAGCGGTATCAATTTAGCCGAGGGCTCGGCTCGGCTCGCGAGCGATCTCGGCCGTGCCCGCAGCGCTCCTGTTCAGTTGACAGCGGAATGCGACGCCAAAACTGGGTTGTTTGCGCGCCGCCGCAACGTAACTTGGTTACAATAGAACTCGTCACGCGTACCGCTGCCTGATGCCTCTTAGCGCGAACAGCGAGCTTTGCGCGGCTTAGCGCTCCGCGGTAACTACGAGATTCTATTCACAGGAGCAAGCGAAAATGCATTTAAGTTGGTTGGCATAACATACATTTTAAAGGTCGCGTGCCATATTAGCCCATGCCATTCGTTTTCATAGTTGAGTTAAAGTAGTGCAACAATAACGAGCTTTTTACATAGCTATGTTATTTTCTCCTTTGGTCATATATGATATGTTAACATCGGAAGTCGTAATTTTTGCTATGTTACCAGTTCAATAACCAAATTTTCGCCCCTAAAACGCTAAAAATGTAACCGTTATTGGGTTACAGTATGATAACCACTTCAAATTGATCTGCGTCCTACATCTGCGGACTTTGTGATTATTAGACGTATGATCAACCATAATTTTAATTGCTCTCATTCACTACACAAAGCTAAAGAAGTATGAACTATCCGTCTATTTTAAAAAAACGTGCAGGATGGCTGAAATATATTAATCTAATTTTAAATAATAATTCTAAAAAAAGCTTTGTTATGATTGTCTAAGCATGTATATAAATGTTTTTTTTTGTAATTATATAAGGATACCAAGTTCCATTAAAAAAAAAAAAAACAAATTACGAGTATTAATGTTTAACATAAGCCGTATTAATTAAACTTTTGTTAGTGTACTGTACACTACTAATTAGTGGTACAAAAATTGTTTTGGTTTGTTTTCACTAATACATTACATATTTCACATTCAAATGTACTAGAAGTTTATTTTTGCAAGACTACTTTCAATATACGAGATTCTCTTTCTTCGATCTTGATATAATTCTGACTTCTTTCTGCAACTAAAATAATTATACAGAGACAGATAGTTAAAGTTATTCGTGTACCAAGAAATAGAAAATATCTAGTGATTATTATTAATATCGTTTTTATTTTTTTATTGCTTGTCTGCTGTTAAATAACACAATATTTTTTTTAGTACTTAATTTTTTTGTTTCTTTAGACTGCGCGGAATTGATGTTCAGTATGAGAATGTTATTAATTCAATAAATACTTAACATAAGGCTATTTTCAATCGTGTTCGGTTACTTACTGAATCTACTTATCAATATTCATTGTCATTTAAAGATATTTAAAATCACGATACTATTCCGTGACAGTAATCAAACGGCGTCATTAAAGTTTTTTATATATTGTTTTACTACATTCTCTACGATCGTCGTTTTCGTGATAACAATAGACAAGTGATGTCAATTTTTATCCCAAAACCGGAATGAATATTAATAATTTAATAAAACATTATGTTAATGGCATATCATTTGTGCTTTCATATGTATATTTTTGGTTAATATCGACTTCAAGTCAAGGCACTACCTATTAGTAATGCTTATCACAAAATTATTAATTTTGTTAAATAATTTCAATATTCACTCTATAAAATAAATTGTTGATCTTTAAATTTGTCTTTTTATTTATTTTAATTAGTGCCGTAAAAGTATTAGCACAAAATTTGAGTGATAATTTATGGTTCAGCTTCTGAGTGCATTATACAAGTAGAAATAAGACTCGTTAATCTTTAGCAAAGCGGATGTATAACTCGAGGTTGTTGCTGAAAATTTGTTTATATCAGTGTGTTAAATTATTTTCGTACTATTGGGATTTATTTACTGTTTACGAAAAAAAAAGGGAAAGCCGGATGTATTTCTGAATATCACAATCCTTGGCACTGTAATTGAATTAAGATTAAAAGACAAATCGTATCAATAAAGTAAAATGTAACATTATCAAATTGGTGATAGAAAATACACTAAATGAAAATTGCAAAAAGGAACGCTAGTTCAGAATGCGTGGTGTGCTGGGAAACAAAAATATTACCCGGCAAAATGTTAGTTCATTACGAGCCATCGTCGAAGTGTGGAGGTGAGTGTCGCAACCCGCTGCAACGCTCACCTGAGCTGTCATTACTAAGCTGAAAGTGGCCCCGTGCCTACCGACCGCGTCATGTGCGTTCTCTCAATTTGTGCGCAAATAGCACATGCAAAGTTTTAGTGGTCCTTTGTTCAACACGTTACAGGGATGGATTACGAATGCCGTGAATTCTTATCAAACTTTAGAATTACACCGAATTATAAAATATATAACGTCTGTAGTTAGAAAATGAAAGATGTGACGTTGCCACACGCTACGATAATCGAGGATAATGTAGGCGGCCCACTTGGAAAATGGTCGCGCGTGGCGTTAATTTGCCAAGGAAGCAATTTGAAAACGGGGACAGTGCACGACGGCGCTCACAGTGGAGACAACCGTGTGACCCATTTAGTGCTTAGCAGGCCGTGCTGCGTTGGGGAATCGATGGCGGCATTGTAAAATCCGAATCTCGAGGCCTCGGCAGCCCTTCACTGATGAGGATCTGTGTCAGGGTCCTCCTGCAGACCCTACAGCCCCCCCCCCCCCCCCCCGCCGCTCCCCGCGCGCCGCCCACTCGCGAGCACCCCTGCGACAGTTGACCCATAAAACTCGAGTATTTGTGTTCCACCTCCCTCGGTCTTGTGCAATGATTTGGGGTCACCGGTTATCGTGTGTCAGTTGACGTTCGCGTACAGAAGAGAAAACTGCAATGTCTCCTCGCTTTGAACTCAATAAGTTGTCCTTAACCAATAAGAATAAATTATTACAGACTGTTCTAGACGCATCTGAGGACCTCCCGCAAATCGTTTGCCTACCGTAAGGACAGTCATTGAACATTTCAGGCGTTAACTATTAGAACGGCGGCCCTCACAAAGAAAAGTTGTCTACCGCAAAGGTCGATACATTCGCATTTTAAGTCACTTTCAAGGGTATTATTTATTTTGTGTTATAAAGTGCTATCCGTCTTAATTTCTTCCTGTGTGGCGTTGCTCTCACTTTGTAGACTCCACAGTATTGGCTTTGAAATATTTGATTTCTTCCAGCTTAATAATCGAGCAAGCGGTGCTCAACCTTAGCCGTTTCTTCACCTTCAGCTCGGAGCAACTGCTGGCATTGTCGCCTCCGCGCCAGTAGGAAGCGACACGGTCGCAGATCGCTATTGGACTTAAGGCCACTATTCAATGCACCATCTTTTACCTTGTGCCCCTTACTCTGCGGCGTGACCCAAAACAGACGTCACTGGCCGCAATAGTCGAACGCGAGAACACAAGCGCACGAGTCATTATTTTTTTTCTTTATGAAACATCTAGGCTAAGTTAACGCAGGAACAGAAGTTGAAGTATTCTCATTGAAATTTAATCTCCGTCCGGAACGTTGATTATTACTATTTGAAACTGTTAATAAACCCAAAAAGTGGGACATGTTTCCAATTTTTTCCTATGCCGTTCTTTTCTATGTGGGTCAAATGCATTGCGATGTCTAATTCGACCCAGTTTCCCTTACAATTACTAATTTGACAATACTCAATGGAACGTGGTAATTTCTCTTTGTAACGTAATATTATTTAAGTCATATTCAGTCGTAATTATGTTTTTTTACTACTGGGAACTAACACTAAACATTTGTCTTAAAATCGTCCGCCCTGGTATATGGTGATTAATGCATTGTTAAGAAAAGTAGAACGGGGGCGAGCAATTCAAGGCCTAGGACGTAGCTGAACAAATTGAATTCAACAATATTCAGCACAAGTCGAAATATTTGGCAATATCATTATCGTATGGGCAGCTTTGTTGTAGTAAACCATTGTAAGTACAATTCCGTGAACGTACGTCAGACCTTGCTTCGCTTTCAAATATTTTCTCACTCCACTAGTAAGCCATTATTCGCACAGATTATAATTTGATATAACTGTATGTTTGATCACCATCATGCAACGAACGTTAATAAACTTACTTGAAATATTTGAAAGTTCATAATTTAGACGTCATAAGTTGGTAGTAGTAATAAAGGCTATTTTTATTTTATTTTTAATTTATACGTCCGTATAATAACTGGCTCGGCTCGCTTCGGCTTACAACCGTGGACAAATTTATGTTATGTTAAACTTTGGTGTAGTGATTAATTAACTCGCGTTTTTTTACTTAATAATGACAGAACACAATTTTGTATTTCGTAATCATAGTCAACGTTACCATACCAGCCGGCAATAAAATATCAGATTGTCCGTTTCTCCTTCTGATGTGGATTAAAAAAAATATTTTTGCTGCTGTGCAATTATTTCAGCATTCGAAAGTTATGTTTAGATATTAAATACAAATCAAAATTTCCTGGAATTTATTAAATATTGGGGTTTTCTACAAGTTCGAATCTTGGTGAGATCGGACATTGGCTCCTATCCGTTTCTGACACAAAGGAATTGTAACGTTGAGAGTTAATTGTGCACGCGTTGAAGACACGTCCCCATCGCGGCGCGCGGCCTCAACCGAGTTTCGTAGATGCTTTCTCGATCGGCGAACCAGGTCGAGTTCTCCATGCCAACGCAGTTTATCCGACTGGCTAAGCACCGAGTCTCAACACGGGCAGGCCACAGGCGAACGGTTTTTAACGCAACCTACACGTCGAAGTCCCAACTCAATCTATCATTTGCCTATTGGACCTATTACCTATTACATGTATTAGTTCCACTAATTCATGTAATAGGTAATAGCTAATACATTTATTTTTTATAATCCTCCGTCCCTTAGTCAAACATTAAGACGTTTTGCGTGCGAGGCGATATCTGTATAAAACATACTCGGCCCCGTCTTGGCACATAACAAATCTACTTTACCATAAATTTAGTAAGTATTGTAATAAGAAAAGTTATTTTTAGCTTCCTAATTGATTAAATGTAAATCATGATTGATATAAAACATTTTTCAAACAAGTTATGGAACAAAAGTTTGAACCTGTTTGGCTTCTTCTCTCTTAGCAAAATTGTTACGAGTTAAAATTAGCGATTGCGTGCCTTTGTATTGTGCTAGCTAACTCGAATTGAAAGTGGAAACGTAATAAGTTTTAAATACATCCCATTTAAGCAAGTTCATTTTACGTCATAAATCGTGCAAAATAGTTTAGAGGTTAAAGTCTACATTCGAATATTAAACAACAATATATAGGATTTACGTATTCTATCCATAAAGTAGTAGACGGACATTATTATATATTACTAGATACTGCCCGTGACTACGTCTGCGTAGAATAGGCTGAAGGCGTAACATTCAGACGGAAAGACAGATATACATAAAAATATGTATATAAATTATAGCTATGTCTTATTATGTTGTTTAAGCTATATTATTGTAAAGTTTCATTAAAATCAATTCAGTAGTATTTGCGTGAAAGAGTTACAAACACCCATCCATACATACAAACTTTCGCCTTTATAATATTAGTAAAGATTTTATGTTAGATAAAATGTTATCCATTTTAAGTTTATGTTGGTTAATACTGTCAATGTTACTTTGGCTCATGTACCGATACCTATGCAGGAGTTTTAACTTATTTCGAATGTGATTTAATAATCAAGTTTAAACTATGCTCGTATTAATATAAGCATTCAAAATTATTTATATATGTAAAGTAACCTTTGCATTACGTATTTTTCATGATATTATTACATTCGTAATGGCTACAGTAGCGCTCCCAATGGTCTAATAGTCGCGACTAGACCGAAATGACGATGACGACCCTCGCAAATTTTCGCGCAAGCTAGTTTATACAATTTATATTAGGCCGGAGTCAAGGGCGCGCCAATCATTCCAGTCTTCTTGTAGCTGTGGAGCAATAAAAGTAGAGGCCAGTACGCTGTATTTTCAACACCGATCCGTCGACGAGAGGCAACAACTCTGCGAACACAATTTCGCACCGTCTTCGATTATCTGTTTGCATATTCATGGTAAAACAATGTGGGGCGCGCTGCAGTAGGGCCGAGGTGGCACAGTTTCTTGTTTGAGTTATAAATCAATGCGTCCCAGTTAGATTAATGTCTGCGCGGCGTTACATAGCTGACGATCCAGGTGCTTTCAAATGGCGACATTGTCAAATATTGTCGGCTTGTTGCGTGGCCGATGGTATGGTTGTGAGGCGTCGCCACGGACCCAGCGCGGCGTGTCGTGTGCGGGCGACACGTCACGTATGACTGGAATATTGCATAACAGACACATGTCTTTTGCTCTTTGTATTTAAAACATGCTAAGTGTCTATCAGACGTAATGGTTTCAAAATGATCTCGCCGACAGCGGACTGCTGCAGCGCGATTACTTGCTGATTAGGTGCAACGCGCTGCCGAGGTTATATTATTAAATTTAAGTATACACAAATCATTGAATGTTAAACGTGTGAACAGTATCGGTTGAAAGTTTCATCGGCCCAGGTGGAAGTGCGTTCAGTCTGTGAATTGGCCACGTGTCCTCGGCCTCGCTCCGTTCGCTTCCGCCTCAGTTTATCCTCGTTCGACAGCGCCCGTGGTAATCTTTTTGCCACGAGCCTTGATTCTAGACCTTCTGCTAACTGCCACATGTTCGCTACATTGATTTGTCAATATTATATTAACGTATTTCCTTTCTAGGTATAATCAGCAAAGCGCGCGCTCGCCTTGGTTAAAGTACGTAATTTGAATTTATTTATAGGTTTAATTTTTTTCTTAATTTCAACTGTAACATACCAGTGGTCTGATTATTATTTGGTCTGAAGCATTATTTAGACAGTTGTGTGTTACGAATGTGGCCAGGATGAATTTTCGATCCACTGCCAGTATAACTGGTGTTATTCGTTCGATAGAGCACGTGTTACTTTAGTAGGCGTACCGACGTCACATTAACGGGCTGTGAAGGTCATGACGTAACAGCTGTAGTCTTATGTCTAGCGATCCGTCGTCCGATTCCTCGCGAGGCCGGCTCCGTAAAGTGTTGCCAGGGCCTCTAGCAGTATTCAGCCCGATAATCTATGGAAAACCTTGTTCCTGACGATTACGCGATTTGCCTTAATATCTTACGTAATTGTTACCTTCTCGCATTGCAATCCGGAAGGTTTTTTGCTCTGGCAATTTTGTAGTGGTACGATGTAAATGTTTCGCTCCTTTCTTTTATATATCGAAACTGTCGAGCGATAAAGACCTTTAGAAATCTGATCTGATTTTATGAATTCTAATAATATTGGCAGGAAACTAAATTGCAAGGCCATACGATACTCATCTTTACACGCCTACTCATAAAGATTAGATAGGACTGACATTAGCAGATTTTTTTATTTCTCCAGTTTACCGCATTTGACATTTTCAATACTTTGGTAAATGTAGCTACAGATAAATTTTGTACAATTACCACTACGCCTGCGTAAAGTACTGAGCTTAGTTTTAACCCTTATCATCGCGCGGGCGATAACCAGTGTTTGTTATCACGGTATATAACTGCCAATCAAACTTATGTCATCATTTCCTGGTGATAAATTAAATTGGCCATCGTTACTTCAACGCTTCATGTTCTATATGTGGACAGATTCAACGACGTCACTTAATTTTCGATTTTAAATGGAAAGTATTAAAATGTATATTCTG